GCTGTGGTCCTTATTAGATTCAAATGTGAAACGCTCTGGGGCTGCTTTTATTAAAGGAAAGTGGGCACATTGGTTTGAATCCAGGGCGTCTGGACAGAACGGAGGTTTTGCGGAAAGACGTGAGGTGTGGGTTGCGTCCGGTGGTTATTGTGAGATAATGGCCTCAATCATGATTCTTCAAGATTTTATCAAGACAGATGGCATGACAGTACCATCCAAGAAATAAACAGCCTAAATTGTTATTCTTTGAAGTATCAATCTGAACTAAGAGGATCTCATTTAGGGAGTTTTGTGTGTAACTCCAAAATTCACCTAAAACATTTTGTTTGTGTATTATGATTTTTCGTAATTTATGGTAAAGAATTCCCGCCCTGTTCTTGCATAACAAATGTGGTAACAGTAGATAATTCGTGTAATAACTGCATCATCATTGGTTGAATAATGGAAAAACTCAAATGTACACTGACAATTGGCTCGTTAAATTTATGGTTGTAAAATTTTGGTCAGGAAACCCGAATGATACAGACCACTTGGAAGACCTAAACAATGGTAGGATCGTATTAAAATGGATGTTAAGAAAATAGGGCGTGGTCTGGATTCACCTGGCTTTGGATAGCGTCCCGGTAGCTAGATGTTGTGAGCGCGGTAATGAACATTTACGTTTCATAAAACTCGGTGCATTTCTTGTCTACTTAAGCTTAACAAGGACTCGGTGTCGTAGGGATACGTATTTTCCCCCCTCGTGATTGTAATGCATTATTTAGCAGGTGGAGCCACGTCATGTACGCGTATTTGTCATTAAATCACTGAATGTTACACGTCATTATTAAGATAACAATCAGCGAACGTAAATACAAAGCAGAATGAGCAAAATGATTTCGGAATGGCTCTGTGAAAGGTAAAATGGGGCGATGAACTTAATGCTACCGCGAAGATTTTGATAAATATTTTCGAATAAGTAGAGAATTTTGGATGACACGGATTCTTTTTATCGTAACGAAATGTGGAAACGATCTGGCAACTTGCCTTGCCTTCCCTCTCTTATACTCTTCTCTTTCTCGTTACTCCACCGTTTACCTTCGTACCCTCCTCACATTCCTTTCGAGCAGTTTTCTTTGCTGCTTATAGTCTTACGCTCTGTTTCCTTAAAGCTGATGTCTTCATTGTCTCTTTCGAATCAGCCCAATTGTTGACCTGGAAATACGATTTGAAAACAATCCTTTGAGGTAGATTGATTAACTGAAAATTTTGTGGCCAACAATAGAATATTTTTTAGCTTTGAACGTTCGTGTACAACTCTAGAACGTCTGTGCGGATGTTCATGACATTTCATATTAAGGAGTTTTACAAACAGTTGTCATTTCAGTTTTTTTTTAAATTTTTTTTAATGACCTTAAATCGGAAGGGATGCATAAGAAACACGCGGTAGTAACTTGGACTAAGGAACTTGCTTAAAGTCGGAGGAAAACCGAGAAAACCCGTGCCAAGATGACCTGGAAGCTCACTGCTGGCCAACATCCCGACAAACAAAAGAATGTAGTAGCTTTATAAGACAAACAACATTCTAAGATTCGCATTTCACCCGATTTATAGAATATTAATCTAATGTAATAACGTATGTAAAATCTGTGTACGGTTGATGAAGAAGTCCTCTTTACTGGATAAATACCTGACAGATTTTATGTACTTTACAGTACAAAGTTTAATCAATAAATAAATTTCGCGGTAAAGTTAATATTAAAATTCTGTAGTGACCGTTGACCACAGAAATAAAACTGGACGTCACCATAACAGATGGTAACTGAATTAACCATTGACATGGCGCGGTGTCAGCTTCATTCACGGCAGTCATTACGCTGCAGGATTTGAGGTTTTCACGGCTGTGAGTTTGAAGATGGCTGTCCTCTGGGTCGTTGCGCCGTGTAAACTTCTAGCAGACTACACGGCGCGACAACCCAGAAGACAGCCATCTTCACTTATTACGCTGCTTGTAACAACAATGGGAAGATGTACTTCATTTTAAAGTATGCACAGTTTCGAGTGTTGGTTCTGTTTAATTTTATCATTATTTGAATTCGTCGTAAAGTAGTAAGAAATGTAGATCAAAGATGTCTCCACTTGTCTTGTATTTATGCTTAAAAGTTATTGTTTTGTTTCTTGTACTGTTAACGAACTAACATCATTTGCGCTTGAATACACACACACACACCAGGAGAATTGTAATGGAACGTAGTTTCTCATTACCCTTTTGTATAAACATTCCAACCAAATTCATCAAATGGTTTCGGTTATGAAATTTGCTGACGTAAATGAAAAGGTTAGTCGAAGAGTGGACGTACGTAACCTCATCATTTCTTCATTGTTGCCAGCTTACAAAAAAAAAAAAGTAAATCCACTGTAACACGTTTTATGAACACGCTCCATTTCTGCAGGCAATGAACGTGCATCAAGGTCGATTTGTTACAACTCCTTCGTATTCGGGAGGTTCTGAGTTAGAAACTCAATCCGGATACCAGCTATTCTGACAGGTGTCTCTTGGTTTTCCTCAGTACCTGCAGGAAATTTCTATAGTCCAAAGCTCATCTGAATAATATTCAGAAACTATTGAATTAATTACAAGTTTTAAACAGTTTATAGTATTGTAAGGCCGGAAACCTTTTATCAGCGTTTCCATGGCAACGGTTAAATATCATCGCATTAGGCTTAAAGTCCTTTAAGAGCAAATGATCACGAACCAATCAATTGGTTTGGGGAAAAATACAGAGTATGTGGTGCGTATACTTACCACTGGGTTAAAAATGTTTCCTTTCGCATCGCCCTTATCTCTAGTTTACAAAGTGCACGGTCATTCGACGCTTCGTAATCAGTGCAGATGCACGAATAGACGAAGGGATTAACATTTACCACGGACTGGGGACCTTCTGCTTTGCTGAAGGAGAGTGAGCGGGTTTTGGGGGGAGGACGGGGCGCCGTTTCGGCATAATTTCAGTTCTCATTCGGCTTTTAACATTTCTGTAATCGTGCCGAAAGCCGACGAATGTGGGTCTCTGAACGCTCGTATTTCGATGTGGCCCTTCTCACAGCTGAGGAGCCTGTAATGCGCACGGTGATGGTTAAAGTTGGTATTGACCTGCATTGGCGATACTCCGTTCGTCTGTTACGAAACGAATCTGGAATTTTATCGAACAACAACTTGCAGTACGCGTACCGCTTACGGTCCGCGTAGGCCCTGATTAATTATTTGTACAGATGATTCTCGGAATGAGTGGTGGTGGTGGGGGGGGGGGGGGTGAATCGCCGCGTGTATCGAAAACGCGTAAGACGGGAGACGTGTTAACATGCCCATGGCTTTTTCTGAGTCTTACACATCGAGAGGACGAAAAAACTGCGCGCGCAACTCGGGTTTGTGCGGCATCTCATACCGTGCCCGCGGATTGGAAACTGATGTTGCTCATGATACTGAAATAAATCAGCGAATAACGAAAGCGCGTATAATGAAAGTCGCCTGTGTGCATGTAGACCGACATCAAGCCTATTTTTCACTAAATATTATCAGGGTTATAAAATCATATGACGAGAAGAAAATATGACCCGCGAATTGAGATGGGACGTGCGTTTAGATTTTTAGTTTGGAATCCCGAATTGAAGCTGTCACTTGGGAGACCCACGTATAGATGGGAGAGTGTTGTTGAAATTGATCCTTGTTTGTGGTTTATTTAAAGACGCTGTCAGTTAGTCATATTAAGTAGCCTTGAGTGATAGGCAAAAAAATTGGAAAGGATGTGAAAGGAAGCGGTCGTGGCCTAATTTAGGGCCCTCGCCATTTTTTTGCCTGGAGGGTCTAGTTAATTAAAACGTTTAAGTTTTTAGTGCATGCGCACCTGTCGACGTGGGAAATATGTCGTCTCGATTCCTGTTTGCTCTGATCGAGATGAAGATGTGCTATTCTCTTTGTAAAATGTTCGCGTCTGTTGTATGCACATTGCTACGAGCGTAACTTGCAAGGAACACAGCTGTATGTAATATTACATTTAGCCCTTTGAACCACAAAGCTCGTCGAAATTATATTTAAGTATTCAGTCCGTACCGCGAAGAAAACACGACACTTCACCATTACAAAGATCAACTGGTTAACGCAGTTTAAGGAAATAATCGCTGTTTACACTGAGAATCATAGTTCGTCTGATTAATATTAAAGATTTCAGTCCGTACCGCGAAGAAAACACGACACTTAACCATTACAAAGGCTAACTTATTAACTCTGTTTGGGGAACTAGCCATTATTTACGCTCAGAATCATACGAACCCCAAAATACAAAATGCAGATTTGCTTATTGATGGAGCAAGGCGGCTTTTAAGGACAAATGCGTACTGAGATTTCCATAATTTATGCTCTTAATCAAATACTGTTAAGGCGCTCAAGTGAAAGAGGATGATGTGGGCAGGGCATGTAGCACTCATCGTGAGGGGATGAGAAATGCATGCAGAAACAATGGGCATAAATGGTAAGATAATATTAAAATGGGCTACAAAGAATTGGATTGAGTCTTTGAGGCTCGGGGACCAGTGACGAATTCTTGTGAACGCTGTGATTATTTTTTGGATAGCTGAGCTTCATTGAGCTTTCTAAAAGAGGACTTTTTTTTCTAAGAAGCTGTTTCGAGTTATGTAATGAGTATCATTTTGGTCACGTGTTGTGTTTACGGTTTTCATGTGATGCTACAAGCGGGGATTATTTCCTTGGCACATGAGGTTGGTCTTTGCAATGGTGAAGTGTGGTGCTTTCTTTGCGGTACGGACTGAATTCATAAAATGTTATTAGAAGATCTTCGTGTTTCAAAGGGCTATCTTTGGTCGGTCATATAGCATCTTCGTGTTATTGCTCTAATTCGGAAGAAACTATGGTGGAACCTATTCTGGCCGAATCTACTCGTCAGGAATCTGGTTTCAGCCGCCTTAAAGATGTTTCCACGTTAAATTTACTTAAATACGTGTATGAATTTTGTACTTTCAGAGAGATTTGAAAAGATGATTCTACGATAAATCGATGTTACTGTTCGACACAAAAAAAAGGTCCATTCCCGTCAACTATGACAGATCGCACTACGCTAGTTATTTGTTTTTTTCAAAATATTTCGTTTTACCGTGTTCTGTAGATGCGCGATTTGAGTTGTCCTATTATCGTCAACTTTCAGATGCAGTCCTTCTTCAACTCCAGTTCACCATTGATGTCATTCTACCATTTTGGCCACCAAAATGACCTCATCTGTTGCCAATGAGTGAGGTCTCCAATATGACCCTCAGCCCTAAAATGTTATCAAATTCATGTACCAGAGTCTGTGTTGAGTAGCGCCGTGTGGACTTGTAGGTAGAAACCAACGTTTCGGAGGAACACAGTGCTACCATGTTCAGGGCTAGATCAAAATCGGCATCGTCACAGACGTGAAAACCTTAAATCTCACATTGTTCTTCAAGAGGGGATTTTATTGAAACTATAAACATTATAATTTCTCAATTTTGCCAGTTTTTACCTGACACTACGAAGATTCGGCTGTGAATAATGGGAAGGGAATATTATCGGTAATAGCGGCCTAGGGCAGCTGTCTCCGTGAATAAAACAGAAAAAAATCTAAATGTTATTTGAAAGTTAATGCCTCCTGGCGTCGAATAGTTATCTTTGTGTCTAGGAACTTGAGTGCGCTTAGAATATTTTCAGGATTGCGACGTTTTTAAGAGTTTCAAAATACGGAAGAAGGCAGTTTTCAAGAGTGAAATTTGGTGCTTTTGATATGCGTTTGTCCGCCCTCAGATCGTATTGTCTGTCCGTCTGGGCTTCCAAAACGCTGGTCTGCACTGAGTTAGACCCAGAAGCCCAACGTCGACTTCTTTACCGCGGTGAGACCCTCAGACCCCGTGTGTACCTGATTTTTTTTCAGAACCTTTTGTATTCTGCATGAATATCCGGTTTCGCCTTTTAAGACGCATTGGTAACTGTGTGTATCGCTTGCCTTAACATTACTTAACTTTGCATTTATGGGTTTAATGCGATTTTCAGAATAAACAGCAAGTCTTTCGAAGATGGCTGTCTTCTGGGCTGTAGCAATGTGCAGTCTGGTAGAAGATTACCAACGTTTTGGAGGTCCTTGCTGCCTTCATTATCAGTGATGACCTCTGGAACGTTGACAAACTTCTGCCATATTACACGGCGCTACAACCTAGAAGACAGCTGTCTTCGAAATAAATCACCGCCGCGGAAACCTCAAACCCCAAACAGGAAATACACATTACTGAGATAAATCTAGAAGTATGAAATAGTCGTTTGAGATAAGCGAAATATATCCAAAAATTTTAGTGAGTTGAACTCAAAAAAATTGGTTGAGGCGTGGATGGTAATTAATATTAAAATGGATCTTACATAAATCTGGTGCGAGGTTGTGGACTGCATTCAGATGGTCCAGGATTCGTTCAGTGGTCGTCAATTGTCTTTTTTTTTTCTTACAAGGTTTGGGCCCAATGGACGTGTTCCGAGGTTTCTCAAAGTGCTCTAACAGTCCCACTCGTGGTCTTTTGTGAAAACGGAATCGAAACTTCGGGTGTTGTAAAATGCAGACAGGAAATTTCTTGAAGATGGCTGTCTTTATCAGATGATGGACGCAGCAACGTGAAACGTTAAGTCATTTTCTACCAGACTACGCGGCGCAACGACCCAAAAGAACAGAAATCTCACGAACCTCTTGTCTAGTCGAGTTCCTCATGAAGGCTTCTGTTACATGAAGTCGTCTTCGTAGAGGACGTTACGAGCACATTTAACCACTCGAAACCTAAGCTCGCCAAAAATTATATTTATAAATCCAGGCCGTACCGCGAAGAAAACACAGCACTTCACCATTACAAAGATTAGTTTGCTACTGTTTACAACGAGAATCGTACGAAACACACAGAGTCGTAGAGTATTAAAGCAGGTGGTAGCACTGGGCCCTTAAAGGCCCAAAGAAATATATTCTTTTCCATTGTTCTATTTATTATACGTGTCAAAAATCTTGTGCCGTTGCCCAGATGCGTTGTATCGAGAGAGTGCACCTGCTCATTCCCTTCTGAACCAGTGTCACGATCTAATTACAGAGGAACAAGCTCCAGCCAACCTTGAGGATCGAATCGTCTTCCGGGCACCCACGAAGAGTTCCGGTAGCTCAGGGTCAAAGCGCAGTCGATCCGAGGAGGATCGGCCAGCGAAGAGAAATAAGGTCACAGGCGTCAAGAATACGAAACTACTGTCTTTTGATCAGGAAGACGAAGACGACGTTTAAAGGTACGTGTCTTCTGACCCAGATATGCTGGATTAATAATGCCCAGAACAATTGTTGAACGAATATTGAGTTATTTTCCTTGTTATTTATGTGATTATAGTGCCATCTATCGGGTTTTTTTTAATGCTGTTTTGTAGAAACAGTTGAAGTATAAAATTGACAAGAATTTGGCGTGAGTGTTTTGCAGTCGATTGTTACATGAACTTTCATAAAAATTCGCTTTGCGCGGTCGTAAAAATGATATTTCGCTTGTCTGCAAGAAACAGACGGACGACGCTTTGTAAACATATTCCGTTGTAAGTGAAATTATTCTTTCTTGGTTGATCGGGTAGTGAGGTCTGGTACTTTGTAACGAAGTAGGGAGAGACAAGATAAAGATGGGAGTAAGCGAAGAGGAAGAGGAGAGAGAAGAGAGAGAGAGAGAGGGGGGGGGGGCTGAAGACTGGGATTCAAAATCAAATATGCTTTCTGATTGGTCGTTTGGATCGTTTCTTCAAGCGTTTCACAAACTGTACGCGGTTTAGGTTAGGTCGCAGAATGAATATGACGTGCAGAAAATCGATAGTTGTATGGCAATTGTGATGTTTGCCATAGTTCTTTGTGTGGATGGCATTAGAACAAACTATAATTTTATTCCTGCTTCGGGGTAGGAGGTAATATGATGTTCCTCAGATAATGGACGACGAAGACATGCATACGTGTCTTCAAACAAAGTTTGACTTTCGTAGTATTGTTATTGCACTGCATAGCGATACGAATGAATATCATAAACTTTTATCAGCCTTAGGTTTCTGATTTACAGTACTGTTTTTTTTTTTGTAACGAAGGATGATGGATAAATTTCATATTGAATATATCGTCAAGGTCACATCTAACACGATTATGGCATGAGATTTTAGCATAATTGGTATTAATTAAATTGTAAACAGTTCCGTTATGTTTAAACATCTCTGGTTGTGCTCAGGCGTAATAACGGTTTTTTTTTTGCTAGTGTTGGTACCTTATTAGCATTATAAACGTATGATTGATTAAGGTGGTACTTGGATCGGCTGTAATGATAAGCATCGGAATGTATTTTAACATTTTCGTTCTATTGTCGCGAAAAATTAAAGAGATAAGCCATCGACTGATAATGACACTTGATTTTTCCTGGTATCATTTCCTTTGTAAAAAAAAATACCGTTTATGATTTTAACAAAAAATTTGGCCCCCAACGCGTATGCACCCCGCTGACATAACGAAGACAGGGTCTAACCATTACCGTTTGGAGGGGTGTTGGGATATTTTAAGTCGAGCTTCCATCTACAGTCGTGCAGATGTAAAGGGCGCGGCCCCCTGTACCACAGGGCGCAGGTATATTTTTCTGCCGTCATTACCCAGTGAGAGTAATAAATAATAATATTCCGAATGTGTAATAACTTTTCTAAATAATGGCTTCGAGAAACTGTTATGGTAAAACACGTAGGTTACATTCTCGAGTTGGCGTTGTTCTTAGGTTCAGTTGCATCTCGAAAATGTGGCAACACTGCGGTAAAGAAAATCTTAGTACTATGAATTTGGATGGATCAATGGCGTGTTTCCAAAGACTGCTGTGAAGTGAAGTTGAAACACGGCACGAATATCGATATGGAACATAATTCGTTTAACTTTATTTATATGAATAATTGTACTTTATATGTTTCTAGCGAGACGGATTACGATGAGGTGGCAACCAGGTTCGGCAAGGTCAATGCCTTAGTATAAGAAGATCCATCCTTCCAAAGAAAGCATTATATTTTGAAATGCGATACATAACTGAAATTTTTTTTCGTGGGTTACATTATCAGTTGCACTTAACAATGGTCGTCAGCATTCAAAGCCCTTCGTTTCCACTCCATCACGCCTCCGAGTAAGTCTAGATACACACTTTCTGAAAACACTTTTTTTTTTCCCATTTCATTCGCAGAATAGTGCAATAAGAATGACCATCTTTCAAGATAATTAAAATTTTTGAAGAGTTTTTTATAGGGCCCTTTTTCAGTTTAATATTCAAGACTGCTGGTACATAACGCCGGTCTTCAGAGACAACCATGAGCGTGCTAATCATATTGTGTGTGTTTATATATATATATAATTACATAAAGTGGGAGTTTTGAGGATGGGCGACCATACAGTGATACACTGAAGATGGCTTTTTGCCCTCTTGTGTGTTTGAAGACTCTCCTGGAAGTAGCATAATGATGTATGTGGATACCCAATTGTTGTAACCAGACCACATATGTTACCATTGTGGTCAAAAATTGAAACCCTCGAAAACCAAAACTGACGTAACATTCAAATGTGAGGGGGGGGTGGGCATTTTGAGAAGTTTTTGAATTGCTCAAAATTCCATCACATTGTAGCCCGTGTATTGTGATCTTGACACTTGTACCAGAGGGTGCTAGTGGGCCCATTGTCAGTAAAATCAGGGATGTTTAAACATTTTCGAACTTGGCCCTGATTGGGTAAACGAACCCATTTAGTCATGTGACCATGGACGCCCGACGTCATTGGACAACCAAACCTCTATCATGTTGAGTGCGTACGTCACAATTTTGCCGTCACGTGACCCTTGGTCGCCATCTTGGCAGTTTTCGGTGGTGAGGGTTAGTGACGTCGTCGACAAACATAAATTGTTGGTGGAGTTTATTACCACCCATTATACCATGTGCAGTTGAAATTAAACCTACCGGATTTGAAAGGTACATGGTTGTGGTCTATTGCAATCGTTATTCAAAACTCCCGCTACTACCTTCCAGCCTATGTTTTCTTTTCGGAAGTGCAATGCAATATTGGCGGTAGGCTGTGTTGTCGGGGCCCTTTTGATGTATAAAGGGAGAAATGGCGGGAGGCCAGAAGCCAATGTATTAGTGTTTATAGTTTGCTACAGAAAGTGTTAATTTGTGGTGTACTGACAGGATCAGTATAGAAGTGGCAAAACACATTCACAGTTACCATTAAAGTGAGCAGCTTTATGTTCCGTGATGGGAAAATTGTCCAACCCATTTACAACGTGTTGGTAGTGAACACTCCTGCCCTCTGGTGTGAATCAGTAGATCTACATTGGTGTCATTGCGGAAAATGTTTCAGAGGTATGGAGAAATGAAAATCGTCACAGTTTTTAGGTAAATGATATGGATGCATCAACTAACCAACTTAATAGATGAAAAACTATATTGCAGTCCAGAGGTTGAACTGTTGTGTGAATTAACATGTGGTTTGTGATAATTTTGGTTTTGTTAAATCCTAGGTCAGTCAGGAGGCAGGTGTGACGCGGTAAGCGTGTTGAATTTTTTAAAATCTGATTTCAGTCGGAAATTTCCCTTCAAGAAACAAAAGATCTCGTTACAGCTAGATGTTAGTAACTGAAACGTCAGTAGGCTGGTGTTTTTGTATTTCTGTATTCTTCACTTTACAAGCATAATGAAGAAGGGGCCCAAAATTGAAGCGGAAACCGCCATCTTGAATTATAGTTATATGTGAAATGGTCATCAGTGTAAAGCTAACGCTTCCCGTTTTAACATAACCTCACCTTATTATTCCAGGTTCCCTTTACTCCAACCCCAATGGAGGCTGTGATGGGAGAAACTGGTGAAGGAAGTAAGGAGGGATCTGATAGTTCTATGAACAAAACAGGTATGATTTGTTGCATGACATGATTGATTAAATGGCTGGAACATGTAATGGGTATCAGGTTTATGTGCAACTAAAAGGTTTGTTGTACATCACATTCTTTCTTATGAAATTTGTAACATGTTTTTAAATGGGTGTGCAAGGTTTACTTTTGGGGATACAGATGTCACTTTTGACTTACGATTTCAGGAGGCTATTAGTTTTTAGTGAACAATTTGTATATATTTTGATGCCAGCAACTTCCAAATCAATGCCTTTCCCAGAAGCAGGATCCTTTATTGTAAGTGCCTGGATTTGGAATGTTGCTGTTTAAATTGCTATTGCCAAGTAGCAACCCATTTGTGGCACTGTTTTAGGGTTTGACTGAAATTGATTAATCTTTTAAGGAGGGTGCGGCCAAAATTTATGCTATTGCATCACCAGGTGGGGCCTTTTTATTTTATTAAAAATGTTTGTGAATTTTTTTATGTCATAGACAATACATATTTATTAGGTATGGAAATAAAAATATTCATGTTTAAATTTGTAGCTATTTTACTAGCAATTTCACCACATTTTTAAAACATCATTTGTTTTCCCCCGCTATTTCCTTTGGATTTAGTGGAGTAATTCATGATAAATTCTTTTTAATGTCTTGCAGGACCTACTTTTCACATAGTTCAAGAAATTATTTGTAATTTCATCAAATTTGTTAGGAGGAAATCATTACACCAACAACTACAGTTCTGTCTTGCATGGTTGTCTATGTCTTCCCTGCCATTTAAATCTCGGTGTAAGCACAAATACTACGACTTCGAGCAGCACCACTGCTTATACGCACGCTCCCCACCAGGCGGGCGTTAACCATCTGCGCATATATGCGCTTAGCCCACTTAAGGGTTTAAATTACTAAATTAAGAAGTGTACAGTTTTGCCGCTGGTATTATTATTGTGGTTTGAGGTATGTCAGTGCTAGTATATACTACAGCTTTACATTTTTTGTCTGTTTGTGCATCACCATGTGTTGTCTCATTTGTGGACAAAAGGCATTTTCCTGCCTCTGTGCATCTTGATCTAG